TGACATATCAGAAACTTTGTGAGAATCTAATTCCGGAATACGGCGTAAAGACGAAGCAGTATAAGATAGTGATGTGATCACAGGTTTCACTTACTGTCTTTTAGAATGACATAATGGTGTTTTATTTCATTATGCGATGCCTATTGTGGATGATGATAGCTTGAATGTGATTTTCGATTTTATGGCACAACACCCTTATTGTTTGGGTGCTAAGATACATGCTGAGCTTAGTGAGGATCGGGGTGGAGAGGAAGAAGATGAGACATGGAGCGTGCCATCCGATCATGACTATGATGATGGTGAGGAAGAAGAGGAGGAGGGGGAAGGAGAGCAGCCTAATTATCCTCCATATTTTTACTTGCAGGGTAATGAAGAGGATGACAGATTATCATATGTTGATTGATATGGCATAATTACAATGCCTATTGTTGCTGGTTTTGATGGAGAATTCTACAAGGGGCAGATATTTCACTCGAAACAAGCTGCACAGGTGGCGATTAAACACCACGCACTACAACACAACTTTCAGTATGGCGTGGTGGAGTCGTCACCTTCAATCTGGAAGGTCAGACGCTTAAGCACAAGGCCGAGTCGGTGCATTCTTGTAGCAGTACGACTCAACCGACGGATCATCGCCATCTTGATGTCGATGTTATATCTGAGTCCGTGAAACATTTGGTCGTGCGCAACCAAATCTTAGTGTTCTGACTGTGCAGACCGAGTTGAAAGATAAGTTTAATATGCAATTTACTTACAAGAAGGCTTGGTATGGGAAACAAAGAGCATTGGAGAAGTTGCATGGAAATTGGGAAGAATCCTACGATTATTTGCAAACATTCTTGGGGGTGGTAAAGAGAAAAATGCAAACATCAGTGATTGATTGGGTAAGAGTTCCTTCATCGCAACCAGGTCATTTGATCTTTCAGCGAGTATTTTGGGCTTATGGACCTTGTATAGATGGATTCAAGAAATGTCCGGGAGTCATGGTTGTTTATGGAACATTTCTTACTGGAAAGTATAAAGGAGTGCTACTCATGGTGAGCTCATCTGATAGTCGGAAGAATATTTTTTCAATTGCATTTGCAATAGTGGAGAGTGAGAATACTGATAGTTGGTCATGGTTCATAAGTCATGTTCAAGGTTTGACCGATCGAAATGATGTCTCTGTCATCTCATATAGACATGCAGGACTCTACAAAGCCATGAGTGACATCGGAAGAGGTTGCGAGTGGAGGTGGTGCATGCGAGACTATGCCAGCAATTTGCAAAGAAAGACTAAAAGCAGAATTATGTATAAGCAACTATTTCAAGTCGGTAATCCTTCTTCATCGTAATTGCTATTTATTTTAACGCAAGGTTTTCACTACACACAAAAAGTTGTCACGTGATTACTCCTAAATCTAAAACAAACCAAAGAAAACTATTCTATAAAACAAAATGTTTATAATAACTACGTACCATGGTCTCCATCTCGTCAAACCACAACTTGTACTGGAATAACTGGTCACTGTACTGACGAGTGTTGGCCGGAAGCCATCAAACACCACGTGGGAATGTGTCCTCGTCAACCTGTGCCCTCACCTCTGTATGTCGCGGTGTTAGATGTGGAAATCGCTCCCACGCCCAGAGCTGCAGTAGGGGGACCCATCAAACAAGGTCACCTCCTAGGGAAGAGGAGAAATGAGAAATATGCAAAACCGACCTACCCATATCATGGTACAAGTAGGCTAAAACAACTTCTCCCCCGACGAACCGTCCAGCTCTCTGCCAATCCTCCACCAAAAGAAGGTATTGCAGATGCACCGTAGCTCTAGACCGATCCGGGAACAGTACACCTTCCATCAGAGATAGAGCATAAGCTCGTTCAAACTGCTCTATAGTCTCATGTGATGCATTTGCGGGGAGATGACTGAATTTATCCCTCAGCCAACCAATCCTAACGACACCGCCGGAAAGATCATCAGGGAACCCGTCCTAACAGTCTCACACAGATCTCCGGCCACCCATCATCTGGTATGTCTACTACGACGGCATCATCGTCGATCGCTAGACCGGTCAGTGTCACAACGTCCTCTAAAGTGATCGTGACCTCACCGAACGGCAAGTGGAAGGTCGACAACCCGGGTCGCCAACGCTCCACGAGCGTAGTAATCAAACTTGCATCAGCAATCATAGGGACCAGGGGTAGAACACTAGACAAACCCGCCTCTAAGAGATACGGAAGATAACGTTCATGGTACGCGACTAAATTGGTCGTACCTCGAACATGGTAAGGTCGATTACCAGCCTTTAATGCACACACAAAACTTATGTTAATTCAATTTCATGCGTTATTCTAATTTCACCTACAAAATATATCTAATCTAATCTCTAAACTTATACTAATTTCAAAAGTTTCAAACGTAATTCTATTCTAACTTCAGTTCAATTCACTATTAAAAACCTATAATAGTCTAATCTAACTAGCTAATTAACTTTAAAGAAGTAGTTGTTATGAAAGACTTACCTCGTTTGCCCAAACTGAGTCGACACGATGTTGACCATGTTCCCAAAGAAGTACCGAATCGACCGGAGCTGGATCAATTGTCATAGGTGGTGGTCTCATGGAATAACTGTCCATAAGTCTAGGAACTGAAAAAACAAATAAAAAAATATTCTTGCCGTCTGCGAGATCCTCAGCACGGAACCGGCCGCCGCCACGACCTCGCCGCCCTCCTCCCTTCCTCTGCGGGCGACTGGTTTCTCGTCGATGTCGGACATCCTCAGGCAAAGAGGCGCGGACGCCTGAGTCTGGGGCGAGTGTGCTTGGGGGTGCGGCGGTGCCGCCTAAGTCTCCAGCGGGGCCTTCTCTATCTCCGGGGGGCCGCCTCTGTCTCTGGTGGGTAAGCTTGAGCCGACGACGTGGGCGAGAAGGAGGATGTGAGTGTGAGAAAGAGAGCTGAGCCTGGAGGAGAAGAGCGAGCGGGAGAAGAAGAAGAAGATAAGGTGGGGGTGATGGAGAATTTGGTTGGGCCGTTGGAGTCTCGGGCGGAGCCGCTGCTTTTGCCCAAAAATACTCAGTTGGCGGCCCCGCATTAGTCTCGGGCGGGCTCGCTGGTATCCCTAAAAAAAGACACAATAACTGCGTTAATAGTTTTAAACCGTCATATTGGTGGTAAATTAAAAAAAAAGATAATATTTATGGAATTAATCCTAGTGTGACGGGGATGGAGGAAAAATGAGAAAAATATATTCGTTTGGAATTATGATTGCCCTTGGTTTGATTGCAAATGGTTAGAAGTTGGAGCTAATAATGAATTTTGAGCTGGATTCTTTTAACTGAACTAGTTCCACGTGTTTCTGCCTAAGCTATGTGGTACAATTAAAACAGACAGCATCGGTACCACACTTTTAATCAGTGTTTGTAAAATCGATCCGAACCGATCCAGTCGAGCGGTAAAATCGGGACTCAGCCATCGGCTCGGCTCAGTTCAGTCAAAAAGTCGCAACCGGCGAACTGGCCGGTTGGTGAACGGTTCGACCGGTTAACCGCTCGAGCCGTTCAAAACGTCTGACCGGTTTTCACCATTCCACCAGCCCAATAAAAATGAATCTAGTCGCGTCGCCGCCTGGGGTTTGGATTATATACTGGAAATTTGACTCAAAACTGGAAGAGAGAGAGAGAGAGAGAGAGAGAGAGAGAGAGAGAGAGAGAGGGGTTGATAAATGGAAGGGGTTGAGAGAAGAAAAGGGATCGTGAGATGGTGAGAGAGAGAAGTGATAGTTTGAGTTGGGGACGTGAGGGAGGGTAGGGCTGGGAAACGGTGCGGTCTGGTCCAGACCAGACCATATATACGGTCTACGGTCCAGACCGAGAGGCTAAAGTATAGACCACAGACCAGACCACAGACTATACGGTCTGGTCCAGACCACGCCTGTGCGGTCTGGTTCGGTCTGGTCTGGTCCAGATAGACCACACTCAACGAAAAATGAAAAATTTGTTTAGTCAACCACACAAAAAATTGAACCAATAAGCAAGAAAAATAATTGTTATTTGCCTTAAAACATTAATCCTAACATGCATGAATAATTTTGATACTCTAAATCTTAGTACATAACAAAGATACAAAGTAAAAGCATCCCAGCTTGCACCATAATGTCATAAACATTAACATAATGTCATATGGAGACACGATTATCTCTACTCTGTGGTTAAATGTGGTTGTGAATGAAGGACGGAAGAGATTCACAAAATTAAGGTTGAGACTTGGGTGTCGTTGTGGGGGTTTGGAGAGTGGTCGAATGGGCTGTTAACACGTATTGACAAGTCAGTTGGGTCTACGGTTTGGTCCGGTAAACCGCGGTCTAGACCAGACCAGACCATGAGATCAAATTATAAAATAATACAGACCATGGACCAGACCAGACCATACTTCACGGTCTACGGTCCGGACCAAACTGTGCGGTACGGTTTGGACCACGGTTTTTCTAACGGTCTGGTCTATTTTCCCCGCCCTAAGGGAGGGTGGGAGAGAAGAAGATTCTTCTTCTGTGAAAAATGGAGTAGCAGCGGAGAAAGATGAAGGAGTGGGGTTGGGGTATTAGGGTTTCTTTTTAAATATATACACTAAAGGTAAATTGCTTTATAGTACTCACTATTAAAACATAAGTTAAATCGATCATCAAACTTTCAATTTATCACATTATATGTTTATATTTTTCAAATTATACTTAATGTTTTTGTTTATTAGCTACCGATTTATTAACGGTTTGTTATCGGTCTAACACTGGTTAAACCAGTAAAGAGTGAAGCGTTCACTATATCGATTCATACATCGGTTCGGTTTTGACAACATTGCTTTTAATAGGGGTAGTAATTAGTATAAGCATCGTTTCATTGGGTTGTTAATTGTTAGATCCGAGGATATTAATAGAGTGGGCTTCGGTTTGGCTCAAATCTCGCTGGGCCACGTTAAACCAAAGAATTTCATCCTGGCCCACTAGCTCTCTCTTGTTCTGGATTCCAGTCTGTTGCGCGTTGCCTCTGCCCTCTCTCTCTCTCTCTCTCTACCTTTCCTATCTGGCTTCCGTTCTTCGCTGGGAGAAGAACACATTGCAGTTTACACCCGACATCATTCGGGAACTCCGAACGTCGAACCTGACCGAATCAACAAAACTTGCAGCTTTGCCAGACACCTGGAATGGCGACTGCAAGATATGATGTGAGCCTGCTTCCAATCCTAGCTCTTGCTCTGTCGTCATCTTTGTGGACCGTGATTTCGGACGACACAAACCACGTCTTCTCGCCCTGCGCCGACACCAAGGTTCAGTTGTCCGACGGCTACACCTTTGGGATCGTCTTCGCCTCTAGGAACGCCTTCTACAACAATGGAAACACTAGTGGAACCCAGTTGTCTCCCTGTGATAGCCGGCTCGGTCTCTCCGGCCAAAGCGCTCAGATCTCCGTCTTCAGGCCCAAAGTCGACGAGATCTCCATCCTCACCATCAATACCTCTTCCTTCTCTCCGGTGAGCTTTTCCCCTTACTTGTCTTGCTCAATCGTTTTCTCGATTCGGGTGGCTCGCAATTTTATTTTTTGGAAGCTTGCAGTTCTTTTACTCTGATGGATAGCGGTGCTTGAATTGCATTTGACCTGGATTGGACTTGTGGTCAAAATTGGGCTTAAAGAGAAATTTTTGGTGGCGGGTGATTAGGGTTATCATATGATCTTGTAGGATCATTTTGCTTCTAAGTTTGGTAATTTACGATTTGAGAAATGCTGCAATAGATAGGGATATCTCCGCATTAGATTTTGAGCTCTGAACTTATGCTCTCTACGCTTGATGGTGATGAAAAATGTATTAGAGTTTATTTCGAGGCAATGTGCAGGAATGGCTGTTATGGAATTGTGTAGCTTCGTAAGGTTATGGTCTAATTTGGGTGCCTCAATTTAATCAGAAAGTTAACAACTTTGGGACAATTCGAAGCATTTTTGTGCTTGAGAGCTTTGTTGGCTAACTTTATGTATTGGCGGAGCATAGGCTGTTACAACTATAATCATGGGCTGCTTCTAGGATATGGAGATTAACCAATTTGGATATGTTGCATCGACCTATGAGGCTTTTGCATTCTGCTATCTTCTGGTGCTGGGAGCTTAAATATCATTTTGTCTTTTGTCTCTAGGAGGAAGCTGAAGTAAGGCCAATAATGTACAGCCCTCGTTTTTCGAGGGAGCTTTGAGTTTAAAGTTTTCGTTTGCACTAATTAGCTCTGATGGAGGAACTGGAGTTGGAAATGAACTATGTGGACATCGTACTCTATGGGTGAAATCTCTTACTTTGCGTTTGCGTTTGCTTTGCTTTGTCGGACTTGAAATTGAGAACAAGGGAGATACGAAAGGGTTTGGGGGAAGGAAGGAGATCGGAGGAAAATGGAAACCGGATAAATATGTTGCAGGGCCACCCAATTTTGTTATATTTCTGCTTATTTCACTTAGAATTATAGGTTTGTGGTTAGTTGGTTATTGGAGAATTTGAATATCGCTTAGGCTCATTGTTTGTTTGGATATTATCCAGTGTCTTAGTTGGCCATCTCAGTAGCCCGGTGAAAGTAATCAATCTTTCACTACATGCTTTGACTATTAATTCATCTGCTTCCAGATATATGTCATCTGTACAGTGGATTGAATGGTTCCCCCCCCCCCCCCCCCCCCCCTCTAAATTTGTTCAGGACAACGTTGGTGGATACATGGTTGCATTTGGTGGCCGAAAATACGCTGCAAGGTCTCTACCCGCTTTTGTCGCAAATGGTACATACACTGTGACAAGCTTTACCCTGGTGAGTGAAGTCTTTTCTAAGTCTATTTTCTTTCTTCAATTTCATCTGACTTTGGGGTCTCTGATTTCTCGGCTTCCTTGCTTTTTCTCTGTGCCATCAAATGCAGGTACTCGAATTCCAGAAGGGTAGGCTGCAAAACTTGTACTGGAAAAGAGATGGTTGTGCTAAATGCGGTGGTCCAAGTGGGACGGGGATGGTCTGCCTGAACAATCAAGATTGTGCAATCAGAACTCCTAGCTGCAAGAACCATGGAGGTAACGTCGACTGCAGCATTGGGATCCAGCTAGCTTTCTCCGGCACAGACAAGCACTACTCAGCCCTCAACTCCTGGTACGAAGTGGAGAATTTGAGACAGTACTCCCTTTTCAAGCTCTACTCAAATCTCAGGGATTCTTTAACAAGCCAGTACGACTCCATCTTTAACTAGCCAGTCGATCGAAAACACCACGGGATCTTTCAATTCTTTTTTTGGGTGGGAAAATGAGTTTGCTTAATCTCTGTGTGGTTGTTTTCCATGTCTGTTGTAACGTGTTAAGAGTCCCAAGATGGTTCAGACTTGCAAAACTGTGTGGGTTGGAACTTGGATGTATGCTGCTACTTTCCTCTACTGTTACTGACAGTTCGTGTGTAAAGTACAGGGTCAATGACATGAATGGTCACTTACTTTTGGTTTTACTAACAGGATGATCCATCGCTTGATGGTGACTTGCGTAACGTTTACACAAACAGAATGACCAATTACTGACTAATGAAATAGTATTTTTAGTAGTATCCATATATACTCCCACCCAAATTGACACCTTAACATGTCACATCGTGTAAAACACAATATAAACAAAGACAAGTGGACTCTAATAGACTACCGTGTCACTCAACCAACATGGTGGTCAATATGCCGACTAGTACAATCGGGTTATTGGAAAAAAAATTGTTTGGAAGACCAATGATATTAAGCGGTAGTCGAAACCAAAAAAATTGTTAATATCAAGAAAGAGAGATCGACTGGAATAGTTAATTTTCGGTCTCTAAAGAGAATTACGATGTTTTAGTGGAATTGACTAACAAAAAAAAAAAAAGAAATTTTGTCGGATTCATACATGAACATTTATATGTTGATGTTAGATATTGAATTCAAGTATAAACGTCTGGATGTTGGTGTTAAATGTTTCGATTTCTTTATATAATGAGAATTAGACTTTATTGCTAATTACTAAAAATTTCAAACAAAACATCTCATCCATCACAATTGTATGTATCTTGGAGAACAACTAAATTGTCTGTATAAATACATATGTGATACTTATATCAACCATCCATCACATCTCATTGTATCCGACTAAGGGCCAGGTCTTAATCTAGTTATTTGTAATGCTCAAACTATCTTGATTTCCAAGATCCTATGAAATTTAGCCAATTTTTTTGTTTTGTCAATGAGAGTTCTCTCGATCATTCCTTTTCTCTCGTTGTCTCAAGAGAATATCCATATAAAGTGAACACAAAACTTGGCAAAATGAAATTCATTCAAGGCAACTGGAAATGAAACATGCATAACGAAAGCATAACAATACCCATCTCTTCAAAAACACAAAATTACCGAAGCAAAATTAAACCGCAAAGTCCCAACTTGTAGAATAAAAAACATGCAATCCGTTTGCTAGAATGGAAATTGGAAAGACAAAAACAATCCAGGGGCCACACCGCCGCCTTCAACCACTGTATTTAATGTCAATGGCCGCCGCTACCTCCTCCGCCGGGAAACAGCTCCATCTCACCACGACCACCGTCATGAGCAGGCGCCATCCCCGAACCCACATCATGATCACCATCCCTCCCAAGCTCCGCCTTCCTATCCTCCTGCTCCTCCCCTGCCACCTCTGCCCCATCCTGTGGAATAGGTTCGCCAAGCTGGATCCGCTTCCGAATCTCCTGGATCTTCTCCTGGATCAGCCAACCCAGGTAGCTGAGCTGGAACGGCTCCAACTTCTGAAGCCCTTTACCGTGATGAACCTGTTACGTACGACATAGATAAAGTCAAAGAAGTATTGAGTAAAATATTAATTCCCGATAGTATTTTTAATTTAAATTATTGGAAATTTTCTGAGTGACAAAAAAAAAAAATGTATCGCACTCTTACTTTGGTCCAATTTAATACGTTTTAATTTGCATACAAATAATTTTAATACGTTTGTTAACGAAATTACATAGCTTGGTGAAGTACCTCGTCCATGAGCCACGACAACTCCATGTTCTGCAACTTTCGGAGCTCCTTGCGGTGGTTCTCCTGCGCCTTGAGAATGGCGTCAAGCAAGTATCCTTCCTGGTTGGTCATCTTCTTGCTCCGCTCGATCTCCGGCAACGACAGAAACCTCCTCAGCAACTGCTCCGCCACCTCATGCGACGGCCACACCGTTGGATGCTGTTCCCCTGGGCCGTAGATCAAGCACATCCCCTCCAACCCACACAGCGTCGTCAGCTCGCTGACGCTCTTCAATAGCCCCGGCCGCCTCTTTCGCAGGCTCGCCTTACGCGCAGCCTCATTCTCGATCCATGCCAACTTCACCTTCTTTCTCATGATCTCTCGGCTTCCTTTTATTTATTTTGGTTTTCTATATCTCTTTGGTTGGGTGGGAGGGGTAGGATTTTATAGTGTGGGAGATATGAGTCAACTTAGTAAGAAGAGAATAATTGGTAACTGATTTTTTTTTTTTTTTTTTGGGGTTGTTTAGGAGAACTTGGTAACTAAGGAAAATAATTATTTTTGGTAACTAAGGAAAGAGGGGGGAAATTTGTTTTGGATGCTATTAAGCAATTATGGAATGTGACGGAACGAATTCAATCTTGGTGTGGAGATTCATACAAAGCAAAATAGTTAATTAGGAAAGTAAATCTTTGTTCACATATCATATCATGGTAAATTATTTAGAATGATGATTTTAATAGAATATGTTGCCAATTTATTTATTTATTTATTGAATTTCATTATGTGGTATTCACGAATTTACAAACTCATCGAGCATTCAAACTATATTTTTTATTTAGTTTAAAATTGAAAAGACTCCTCCAACACTTACGGTTGCAACTAATAAAACTTTGATTCATGCGTAATTATACATATTTAGGATCCAAATTCACGTATCATGGTAAATTATTCCGAATAGATAATGTGTTGCCATAAAATTTTGTGATTTATTGAATTTCATTATCTAGTATGCACGAATTTACAAACTCGTTGTGTATTCAAACTAATTTATGTTAGATGTATTTAAAAATAAAAAGACTCATCCAACACTTACAGTTGCAACTAATAAAACGGTGATACCAGTGTAATTATACATATTTATTATCCTAATACGTGGACGTTTCTAGATAATGTTGTGCCATAAAAGTTTTGTAATTTATTGAATTTCATTTCTGAGTATTCATGAATTTACAAACTCAACGTGTATTCAAACTATTTTTTGTTAGATGTATTTAAAACTGAAAAGACTCATCCAACACTTACCGTTGAAACTAATAAAACGGTGATACCTGTATAATTATACATATTTATTATCCTAATACATGGACGTTTCTAGATAATGTGTTGTTATAAAAGTTTTGTAATTTATTGCATTTCATTATCTAGTATTCATGAATTTACAAACTCATCATGTATCCAAATTAATTTTTTTTTTTGGGAAAATGGTTTTGGAAGCTATTAAACAATTCTGGAATGTTACAGAATAAATTCAATCTGGGTGAGGAGATTCATACAGAGCAAAATAGTTAATTATGAAAGGAAATCTTTTTTCACATATCATATCATGGTAAATTATTTAGAATGATGATTCTAATAGAATATGTTGCCAATTTTTTTTTTATGATTTATTGAATTTCATTATATAGTATTCACGAATTTACAAACTCAACGAGCATTAAAACTATTTTTTTGTTTAGTTTAAAATTGAAAAGACTCCTTCAATACTTACGGTTGCAACTAGTAAAACTTTGATACATGCGTAATTATACATATTTAGTATCCAAATTCATGTATCATGGTAAATTATTCATAATGATGATTCTAATAGATAATGTGTTGCCATAAAAGTTTTTTTATTTATTGAATTTCATTATCTAGTATTCACAAATTTGTAAACTCAACGTGTATTCAAAATAATTTTTGTTAGATGTATTTAAAACTAAAAAGACTCATCCAACAGTTACGGTTGCAACTAATAAAACGGTGATACCTGTATCATTATACATATTTATTATCCTAATGCATGGACTTTTCTAGTTAATGTGTTGTCATTAAAGTTTTGTTATTTATTGAATTTCATTATCTAGTATTCACGGATTTACAAACTCAACGTGTGTTCAAAATAATTTTTGTTAGGTGTATTTAAAAATGAGAAGATACATCTAACACTTACGATTGCAACTAATAAAACGATGATACATGTATGATTATACATATTTATTATCATAATACATGGATGTTTCTAGATAAAGTGTTGCCGTAAAAGTTTTGTTATTTATTGAATTTCATTATCTAGTATTCACGAATTTACTAACTCAATATGTATTCAAACTAATTTTTTAGATATATTTAAATCAGAAAATACTCATTCAACCCTTACAGTTGCAACTAATAAAACGGTGATACCTTTTTAATTACATATTTATTATCCTAATACGTGGACGTTTCTAGATAATTTGTTGCCATAAAAGTTTTCTAATTTATTGAATTTCATTATCTAGTATTCATGAATTTACAAACTAATCATGTATTCAAATTATTATTTTTTGGGGGGAAATGGTTTTGGATGCAAGAAATTATGGAATGTGACTGGACGAATTCAATCTGGGTGTGGAGATGCATACAGAGAAAATAAGTTAATTACGAAAGAAAATCTTTTTCACATGTCATATCATGGTAAAGTATTCAGAATGATGATTCTAATAGAATATGTTGCAAATGTCTTTTTTTCTGTGATTTATTGAAATTCATTATGTAGATTCACGAATTTACAAACTCATCGAGCATTCAAACTATTTTTTTTATTTAGTTTAAAATTGAAAAGACTCCTCCAACACTTACGGTTGCAACTAATAAAACTTTGATACATGCGTAATTATACATATTTAGTATCCAAATTCACGTATCATGGTTAATTATTCAAAATGATGATTCTAATAGATAATGTGTTGCCATAAAAGTTTTGTTATTTATTGAATTTTTTTTTTCAAAAGATAATCATATATATTGATTGGATCAAAAGGTATTACATCCTGGCAACCAGCCAGGCCTGGAAATCAAAAGAACGGCAAGTAGCCGGGAACAAATCAAGGGCCTTTCTAGCCACCAAATGGGCTACCCTATTGTTACTCCGACCTACAAAACGAACACTGAAGCCACTATGACTAGCAAACACTCCGATGATCTCCTCTAGTACCGCCCCTATTTGAACATCCCGCGCATCCCGTCGCGTAAGTTTATCAATAATAACCTGAGCATCCCCCTGAAAACAAACATCATGAAAGCCCAAATCCAGACACCAAGTCACTGCCTCGCGAAGAGCCAAAACCTCAGCCACCAAGGGGATGTCAACATCCGGGAATTGCACACCACGAACCAACAAAATATTCCTATTGGAATCCTGGAGCACAAGCCCACCCGCCGAATGAGACCCCGCCTTGGTTGCCCCATCCCACATACAGGTAACTGCCTGCTCACCAGTGAACGATCCCACCGGAGGGGAACTGGAAGACACACCCGGGGCCG